GTGCTTTATCATTCAGGAATCAAAAGCAAAGACAGCCAAAAGGGAAAAAGTTAAACTAGAAACCTGAAGTAATGAACTCAAATATCCCCATTTGCAGTAGACTCTACATTAGGCCGCTGTGAGAAATAAAATTAAATGAGAATGTTAAATGCACAGAACACTAAATGGACTCAATAAATGGAAGTTACTATCATTGCGAGGTGGAGGTATGAAACTTTCCCAGTTCAATCTGATATAATTTATACTGGTTTCTGATAAGGAAGATCTTCTATGATCCACCCTAACATTAAAGTGAATCCTCCTTAAAGCTTCTAATATACCAAAGAATAAGAATGACTTTGGGCAACACATAAATAATCTTCCTTCAGAAATACATATGTATAGTCCTAGATACACACAACTTACTAAGACTGGATGAGGAGGAAACAGAAAATCTGAGTAGACCTGTAAGTAATAAGGAGATTTAGTCAGTAATCTAAAATCTGAAAAAAAAAAAAAAAAAAGTCCAGGACCAGATGTTTCACAGGCAAATTCTAGCAAACATTCAACCAAGAATTAACACCAAATTTTCTCAAACTCTTCCAAAATATTAAAGCAGAGGGAACACTTTCTACTCATTTTATGAGGCCAAGACTGCCCTGATACCAAAGCCCGACAAAGACACTACAAGAAAACTACAGACCACTAGCTCTTATATTGTTGCAAAATCTACAGCAAAATATTAACCTAACTAGCCTATTAAGGGATTACACACAATGACCAATTCGAACTAATTCAAGGAATGCAAGAACTGTTCAACACGTGAAAATCAATGTAATATAACACATTAACAAATGAAGGGAAAAGCCCCACCTAATCATCTCAGTTGTTGTAGAAAAAGCATGTGATAAAATTCATACCCTTTCATGATAAAAATATTCAAAAAACTTGGAATATAAGGAACCTACCTCAACATAACAAAGGCCATATATGAAAAACCCACAGCCAACACCTACGCAGTGGTGAAAGACTAAAACATGACAAGGATGCCTTCTTTCACCACTTCTATTCAACACAGCTACCAGAAGTCCTAGCCAGAGGAATTAAATAAGAAAAAGAAATAAAAGCATGCATACTGGAAAAGAAGAAGTAAAATTATCTCTGTTCACAGACAACATTATGTTGTAGGTAGAAAAACCTAAAGATTCCACAATGTTAGAACTGATACACAATTTTAGCAAAGTTACAGGATATAAAATCAACACACGAAAATCAGTTGTTTCTATACACTAACAATGAACAATCTGGAAAAGAAATTAAGAAAACAATTCCATTTACAATAGCACTGAAAAAAATTAAATACTTAGGAATAAACTTAACCAAGGAAGTGAAAGACTTGTACACCGAAGACTATAAAATACTGCTGAAAGAAATTAAAGAAAACACAAACGGAAAGACATCCCATGTTTGGGGACTGCAAAACTTAACATTGTTAAGATGTCCATACTTATCCACAGCAAACTACAGATTGAACATAATCCCTATCAAAATCCCAATAGCATTTTTTGCAGAAATATAAAACCATATAGAAATACCAAGGGACCTTAAATAACCCAAACAATCTTAAAAAGGAAGCCAGTTGGAGGTGTCACATTTCTTGATTTCAAAACTTACTACAAAACTACAGCAATCAAAACAGTGTAATATTAGCATAAAGATAGACATGCAGCCCAATGGATCAGAAATAAACTCTCGCATATATGGTCAAATGATTTTTGACAAGGGTGTCAACATTATTCAATGGGTAAGGACAATCTTTTCAACAAATTGTGGTGGGAAAACTGAGTATCTACATGTAAAAGAATGAAGGTGAATCCTTATTTTACACCACACAAAAAAATTAATTCAAAATGGGGCGCCTGGGTGGCTCAGTTGGTTAAGCAACTGCCTTCGGCTCAGGTCATGATCCTGGAGTCCCTGGATCGAGTCCCGCATCGGGCTCCCTGCTCGGCAGGGAGTCTGCTTCTCCCTCTGACCCTCCTCCCTCTCATGTGCTCTCTCTCATTCTCTCTCTCTCAAATAAATAAATAAAATCTTTAAAAAAAAAAAAAAAAAAAAAATTAATTCAAAATGGATCTAACATCTAAACGTAAGACATAAAAGTATAAAACTCTCGAAAAAAACCTATAGTAGAAAAGCTTTATGACATTGGATTTGACAATAATTTCTTAGATAGACACAAATGCACAGATAACAAAAGAGAAATACACAGTTGGACTTCAAAATTTCAGACAAACTTTTGCAAAGATGATTGACATCACCAAACAAAGGCAAAACAAAACCACAATGATACTGCTTCACACCCATTAAGATGGCTATTACCAAAAAAACAAAAAACAAGTGTTGACAAGGATGTGGAGACACTGGAACCCTCATGCACTGCTTGTGGATAAGTAATGGTGTAGTCACTATGGAAAACAGTATGGCAGTTCCACAAAAAGTTAAAAATAGCAATTTGCCTTCTGGGTACATACTCAAAAGAACTGAACACTGAGTCTTCAAAGAGATATTTGTCCACTCATGTTCACAGCAACATCATTATGCACACAGCCAAAAGGTGAAAACAACTCAGCTATATATCAGTAGATAAATGGATATATAAAATACCATGCAGTGTTCAAAAGGAAGGAAAATTTGACACATGCTACAATAGGGACGAACCTTGCAGACATTATGGTAAATGATATTAGCCAGTAATAAAAGGACAAATACTATATGATCCCCTCAAAAAGGTATTCAGAGTTCATGAGAGAAAGCAGATTGGTGGTTACCAGGCCAGAAGGCAGGGAATGTGGAGAGTCATTATTTAACCAGTGCAAAGTTTCAATACTGCAAGATGAAAAATGTTCTGTGGGTAGATGGCAGTGATGGTTGTACAACAATGTGAATGTACCTCATGAACTGCACACTTCAAAATGATTTAAATGAGGGGGCGCCTGGGTGGCTCAGTCGTTAAGCGTCTGCCTTCGGTTCAGGTCATGATCCCAGGGTCCTGGGATCGAGCCCCGCATCGGGCTCCCTGCTCCGCGGAAAGCCTGCTTCTCCCTCCCCCTGCTTGTGTTCCCCTTTCTCGCTGTCTCTCTCTCTGTCAAATAAATAAATAAAATCTTCTAAAAAAATTTAAAAAATGATTTAAATAGTAAAACAAAAAATAACAATATTAAAAAAGACATACTATATGCTTCCACTTAGTATCTAGAGTAATCAAATTCATACAAACAAAATAGAATGGTCGCTGTCAGGGGTTGGGGTGAAGGGGAAATGGGAGTTAATTGGTATAGAGGAGTTTCAGTTTTGGAAGACTAAAAACTTCTGGATATTAGTTGCACAACATGTGAATATATTTAACACTAATGAATTGTGCACTTAAAAGTGGTTAAGATGATAAATTTTACCAAAAGTAAAACACACATACACACACACACATACTCGAAAGATGTTTGCTTTCAGAGTTCATTTGGATAAGAGAGGCAAGAGAAGTACACTTAGTTTATTGATAGTGTATCAGCTGTGTGTCTGAAATAATACCAATGTTTCCTTCAAAAGAAAATTATTAATTATCCTGAATAAATGACAGAAGCTTTTGGGATTTATCAGCTCTGTATTAACCCCAAAAGACAAGAGCTAGTGTTCTTCTCATGTAAACTCTTAACCTAATTCTTTAAAAAATATATATATATATTTTATTTGACAGAGAGAGAGAGAGAGCACAAGTAGTGGGAGCGACAGAGGGAGAGGGAGAAGCAGGCTTGCCACTGAGCAGGGAGCCCAATGTGGGGCTCGATTTCAGGACCTTTGGATCATGACCTGAGCCAAAGGTAGACGCTTAACCAACTGAGCAACCCAGGCACCACTCTTAATCTAATTCTCAATGATGTTTTTAATTCCTATAAGCTTAACTTATTCAAGAAAGTCACCAGGACAAGTAATCAAGCTCTAAAAGAGAAGACAGAATATTAACAAGCCATTTTTGTCCCAAGTAAACACAAATTTCAAATGACTTAATTGGTCAACTTTATAAAGATCACTTTAATTTGTGACCCCCATTTTCAACAAATCTGGCCTGAGTGCTGTAAAGGGGTTATGGGGCAGGTCATAGAACTGGGACTCAGAAAAAAAAAAAAAAAAAAAAAAATCCAAAAAGACTTTATGATTTAAAAAATCCCAATAAATTCTGTTTCTGGCTCTAGAAGGATCCTTATGTCTAAGTCTCAGTTGTCTTATCCACAATACCATAATCCTACTTTAAAAGGCACTATGTGTTAATTATAATTCAAAACCCAATGAAATAGAAATATACCATTGCTGAGGATGGTTTATCATTTTCATTATGTGTGACACACTTTTCCTACTTAAAATAATTTCTACTACAGTGATTTGTAAGGGCACATGCACCCCAATGTTTACAGCAGCAATGTCCACAATAGCCAAAATCTGGAAAGAGCCTAGATGTCCATCGACAGATGAATGGATAAAGGTGTGGTACACGTACATGTACACACACACACACACACACACACAGACGAATATTACTCAGCCATCAAAAAGAATGAAATCTTGCCATTTGCAACGACATGGATGGAATTAGAGGGTATTATGCTAAGTGACATAAGTCAGAGAAAGACAAAGCCATATGATTTCACTCCTATGTGGAATTTAGGAAACAAAACAGATGAACATAGGGGAAGGGAAGGAAAAATAAAATAAGATAAAAACAGAGAGGGAGGCAAACCATAAGGGACTCTTAACTGTAGGAAACAAACTAAGGGTTGCTGGAGGGGAGGTGGGTGGGTGGATGGGGTAACTGGATGATGGGCATGAAGGAGGGCACTTGATGTAATGAGCACTGGGTGTTATGTGCAACTGATGAGTCACTAAATTCTATCCCTGAAACTAATAATATACTATATGCTAACTAAATTGAATTTAAATTAAAAATTAAAAAAATTTTTTTTACTTACTTCGTCAACTTGTGGCTTTTCATTGCTGTGAGAAATTCTCTAACAATCTCAGGACTCTGGTGCCTGCATGGTGTTTTTGATATATATTTTAATGTCTACCCAAAAAAAAGAAAGAAAAAGTAAGCATAAGGCAAAAAAACCTGAATGAGAAAAAGGGAAGATAATGGCTATAATTTAGTATTCTAAAATTTTATTTCAAAAATCTTCTATAAAAGGGCACCTGTGTGGCTCAGTCAGTTGGAGCATCTGACTCTTTATTTCGGCTCAGGTCATGATCTCAAGGTCATGGGATCAAGCCCTGCATAGGGCTCCACGCTCAGCATGAAGTCGGCTTGTCCCTCTCCCTCCCCCGTTGCACCCCTCCCCCTATGTACCTGCCTGCTCTCTCTCTCAAATAAATAAATCTTAGGGCGCCTGGGTGGCTCAGTTGGTTAAGCGACTGCCTTCAGCTCAGGTCATGATCCCAGGGTCCTAGGATCGAGTCCCGCATCGGGCTCCCTGCTCTGGGGGGAGCCTGCTTCTCCCTCTCCCACTCCCCCTGCTTGTGTTCCCTCTCTCGCTGTGTCTTTCTCTGTCAAACAAATAAATAAAAAATCTTTAAAAAATCAATCAATCAATCAATCAATCAATCTTAAAAAAAAAAAATCTTCTATAAAACAAATGCCTTCAGGAGAGTCAATCTTCATATAATGGGAATTCCTCAAAAAGAAAACCAGTGGCTAGAATAGGAAGAATAATGAATTTCTACAAGAAAGCTTTTCTGATCTTAAAAAAGAAAAAGGAAAAACTCAGGGCGCCTGGGTGGCTCAGTCGTTAAGCGTCTGCCTTTGGCTCAGGTCATGATCCCAGGGTCCTGGGATGGAGCCCCACATTGGGCTCTCTGCTCCGCGGGAAGCCTGCTTCTCCCTCTCCCCTCCCCCTGCTTGTGTCTCTGTCAAATAAATAAATAAAATCTTAAAAAAAAAAAAGAAAAGAAAAAGGAAAAACTCAATCTGACAATTGTGTTATACTTCAGACAATTTTTTTAGTGATACATATATATGTATATATACATACATATATATAATGGACTCAGCCATCAAAAAGATGAAATCTTGCCTTTTGCAATGACATGGATGGAACTAGAGGGGTATTATGCTAAGCGAAATAAATCAATCAGAGAAAGATAATTATCATATGATCTTACTGATATGTAGAATTTAAGAAACAAAACAAAGGATCATAGGGGAAGAGAGGAAAAAATAAAACAAGACGAAACCAGAGAGGGAGACAAACCACAAGAGACTCTTAATCATAGGAAACAAACTGATGGTTGCTGGGGGAGAGGGGGGTGGAGGGATGGGGTAACTGGGTGATGGACATTAAGGAGGGCATGAGATGTAATGAGCACTGTCTATTATATGACTGATGAATCACAGACCTGTACCTCTGAAACCAATATTACATTATATGTTAATTATCTGAATTTAAATTAAAAAAGGAAATAAACACGGATTAAAAGAAGTTTGAAAACTCAAAAAAATAAAATAAAATAGAAAATAAAAACAGGGAACCCAAAGAATAAAATAGTCACCAGTCCATATGGATATAAGTAAATAAAAGCATGAGAAGGAACAAGTGTTTCTTATAGAAGAACTGTGTGTTAAATGTGGAAGGAATGAGGGAAATAAATCACCATTAGGGAATTGAACCATAGTAATAATTACTGCAGGAAAGACATACCAATGAATACTAAAATTAATACTAAAAGCTTTACTAGTGGGATATTTGCATAGCCTCAAAGCATTCTTCTCAAAATATTTATTAATTACTGTGATGGTTTTATTTTTTTTTTTTTTAAAGATTTTATTTATTTATTTGACAGAGAGAGAGATAGCAAGAGCAGGAACACAAGCAGGGGGAGCGGGAGAGGGAGAAGCAGGCTTCCTGCCGAGCAGGGAGCCCGATGTGGGACTCAATCCCAGGACCCTGGGATCATGACCTGAGCTGAAGGCAGACGCTTACCGACTGAGCCACCCAGGTACCCACTGTGATGGTTTTAATACACGTCCTCAAATTCTTTGATCTCCTTCCCTTCAAGAGGTGAAGCCTAATCCCATTCCCTTTGAATGGGCTGAATGTGGCGACTCCTTTCTAAATAATACAAAATGGAAATGGAAAACCAGTAACTTTACAGTAGAGAAACCAGGCATATACCATCTTAACCAAGTAATCAAAGTTCACAGCTTCAGTAAGAAGACACTGATATCATGTACCCTGTACCATGCAATGAGAAGGGCACATCTCTTCTGTGGCATTCTTCCCCAAAAGCCGTAACTTCAGTCTGGTCAGGAGAAAACATCAAACAAACCAAAATTGAGTGACATTCTACAAAATACTTGACCATTACTCTTCAGAAGTGTCAAGGTCATGCATGGAAGATGAGGAAAGACTAAGGACCCATTACAGACTGGGGGAGACATGGTAACTAAATACAAAACAGTATCCTTGAACAGAAAAAGAGCATTAATGGAAAAGACGCTTAACAACTGAGCCACCCAGGTGCCCTGAGGGAGAAAGAATCTTAAGCAGGTCCAATGCAGGGCTCGATCTCAACTGAGAAAATTTGATCTTTGTGTAATTTTTCTTAGTTTTGATAACTGTGCCATGGTTATATAAGATGTTAACATCAGGGACAACTAAAGAAGGGCATATGGGAACTCTCAGCACCATCTTCTTTCTGCAAAACTCTTCTTCAAGACTATAATTATCTCAAAATGAAAGGCTTTTATTTTTTTTTTTTAAAAGGCAACCCCACCTAGACATAACTTGAAAGGAACTTCAAACCGGAAAGTAAACAGTAACCTCAAGCATCTAAGTTAAGCATCTCTCCCAAGTGCAAAAATCAGGTTGGTCTCAGACTCCTCCGTAACAACAAACACTAACAGACTAAGTAATACCTATAGAGACTTGCAGAATGAAAGCTGAACCCAAGAACTCCGTGTTCAGATGAGGTGTCATTCACATTAAGAACACTAGAAATACATTCTCAGGCATAAAAAGTCTCAAAACATTTAACACCACAATAAGTTTCCTTAAGGCACTGTGAATTAAAAGCAAGAACTTAACAAATATGTAACAGAGTGGCAGTGAGTTTAAACTGATTCAAGTGTGTAGTAAGAGTACTTGACAGCTTGAAATTTGGCTACAAAACTCATTACCAACATTTTCTTTTTTTTAAGAGATGAATGGTATAACATAAAAGAACATAAGTGAATAAATGAATGATAGATTTTATTTATTTGAGATTTGAGAGAGAGAGAGAGAGCACACACAAGCTGGGGACGGGAGGCAGAGGGAGAGGGAGAAAGTCTGTTTTGTTTTTAAGATTTTATTTATTTATTTGACAGAGAGAACACAAGCAGGGGGAGTGGGAGAGGGAGAAGCAGGCTTCCTGCTGAGCAGGGAGCCTGATGTGGGGCTCAATCCCAGGACCCTGAGATCATGACCTGAGCGAAATCAAGAGTGGGGTGCTTAACTGACTGATCTACACAGGCACCCCTGAGTGACAGGACTTTAAACACACAATTAGATGAACAAAACTGGATGGGGAGGAATGGTGACAAAAAGTGCTAAACACCCCTTAATTTCCTTAAAAGGGATTACAGTAACTTAACTCTGGTTTCATTGTGTCTTTGGAGAGATAAAGATAATTAAAACTAGATCCTTTGTAGAGACAAATCAGATTTGAAAGAAAATAACAGAAAAATTAAAATGACAGATACAAAATCAAACATCACATAAAACAAATATGATGGCTTAAACTCTTTTAAGGATAAAGCATAAGGTTGGGAGAAAACATAGTAAAATGTCAACTAGATGTTAAAATTGTAAACTACTTTTGCTTTCTTCTTTATACTTTGTGGTACTTTCTAAGGTTTTTACAATAAAAAACATTACTTTCTGTGTAATAAAGTAACTTTGGGCTTTGCCCAAAGATACAGTTTGGTCTTTGCCCTCAGCTTCTGGGAGGCAATCTCTAGACCCTTGGAATGTTATACTCAATAGGAGTATCTCTGTCTGGAGGCCTTGGTCATACTGAATAGTCTTAAAAATGTGACTTAGGGTAGGGGCTCTGGATCAATGTACCTGGAGGCTGAGATGAACTACACAGGAAATCAATCACTCAATCACACCTATATGATAGAGCCCAAATAAAAATTCGGGACTGAAGTTCAGCTGAGCTCCCCTGGTTGAAAATATTCTCTATGTATTATCACACACCGATTTCAAGAGAGAAACATGTTCTGACTCCACATTAGATGACAACAGAAGCTCTGAGGTGGAATTTCTCCTAATATCTGCCCCATATGCTTTTTCCCTTGGCCAATTTTAATCTGTATCTTTTTTGTGTAATAAACTATAACTACGAATACAATAGCCTTCAGTGAGTTCTGAGTACTTCCAGTGAATTACTGAACCCAAGGGTGGTCTTAGGGATCCTTGACTTGCAAATGGGTGTTAGAATTGAGGGCAGTCTTTTGACTATTCCCTCCAACTTCATCAATGGCTAACCCTCACCACTGGCCAAACTCCTTCCACTTGTATAAACAGAATAAAAACTGGGTTACAGTAAAACTACTCATTAATCAAGTAAGAGGTAGTCATGATTTGGTGGCTAGTCATCTGCAGAATAAACCAACCCCCCTCAATGGTAGTTTGGGCAGCTCCTCCAGAAACATAGGCTTACTTCATATGTGATAGTATTCAAGTTCTGTTGCCCAGAACTGTGTTTGTTCTTTCCACTTTCTTTCCGTTGCTCTTTCAGATCAGTCAGTAACTGGAACACCTAGGAAGTAATAAAATATTTTTATGAACAAATGTGAGAAATGTATCTATTTCAAGGTCAATGATTTTGAAGGATAAGTAGGATAGTACCCCTTTTCTTTCACAAACCCTCCCCCTAACTCTTGTATTAGAGCAAATATGAGTCTGAGAAGCAGCTGACATTTTGAAAATGCTTTTATCTAAATCAAATAATCCAAATTCATTAGTTTACTGAAAATGTATCAAATGTTTCCTTATCAAGATATACCATATCACTGATCTCTCCTCTGACCTCAAAAATATACGGAGTATATCTGAAATTAAATTTTCCTAAAATACAATCATCTCAATAGATGCAAAGAATTTTCCAAAATTCAACACCGATTTATGATAAAAACTCTCAACAAACTGGGTTTAGAGGGAACATACATTAACGTGTAAAGGCCATATATGACAAACCCTCAGCTAACATCATACTTAACAGTGAAAAGCTGAAAGCTTTTCCTATTAGATCAGGCCAAGATAAAGATGCCACTCTTGCCCCTTTTATTCAACACAGTATTGGAAGTCCTTGCCAGAGCAATTAGGCAAGAAAAGAAATACAAGGCAGCCAAATTGGAAAGAAAGTGGTAAAGCTGTCACTATTTGCAGATGACATGATACTACATATAGAAAACCCTAAAGACTCTACCAAAAAACTGAACTAATAAATGAATTCAGTAAAATTACAGGATACAAAGTCAATATATAGAAATCTATTGCGTGTCACATGATAACAGTGAACTATCAGAGAGAGAAATTAAGTAAATAATCCCATTTACAACTGCATCAAAAAGAATAAAACACCTAGGAATAAATTTAACCGAGGAACGAAAGATCTATATCCTGCAGGATAAGACACTGATGAAAGAAACTGCAGAAAACACAAATAAATGGAATGATATTCCATGCTCATGGATTAGAAGAATTAATAATGTCCATTTTACCCAAAGCAATCTACAGATTCAGTGTAATCTCTATCAAAATTCCAATGGCATTCTTCACAAATAGAACAAACAATCCTATAATTTTATGGAACCATAAAAGACCCTGAATAGTCAAAGTAATCTTGAGAAAGAAGAGCAAAGCTGGAGGCATCATGCTTCCTGATTTCAAACTATATTACAAAGCCAAGAAATCAAAATGGTATTGTATTGGCATAAAAACAGACATATCAATCAATGGAACAGAATAGACAGTCCAGAAATAAACCCATACATATGTGGTTAGTTAATTTTTGACAAAGGAGTCAACAATATACAATGGGGAAAAGAAAGTCTCTTCAATAAACGGTGCTGGGAAAACTGGACCACTATCTTACACCACACACAAAAATGAACTCAAATGAATTAAAGAACTGAATGCAAGATGTGAAACCATAAAGCTCCTAGAAGAAAACACAGGAGGTATGCTCCTTGACATTGGTTTTGGTGATGATTTTTTTTTTTATTTAACACCGAAAGTAAAGGCAACAAAAGCAAAAATTAAAAAGTGGGACTACATCAAACTAAAAGGCACAGCAAAGGAAACCATCAGCAAAATGAATAGATAACTTACTATATGAGAGAAAATATCTGCAAATCATGTATCTGATAAGGAGTTAATACTCAAAATATATAAAGAACTTACAGAACTAAATACCAAAAAACCAATCTCATTAAAAAATGGGCAGAGGACCTAAACACACACTTTTCAAAAGAAGACATACAGATGGCCAAAAGACACATAAAAAGATGCTCAACATCACTAATCATCAGGGAAATGCAAATCAAAACCACAGTGATGGGGCGCCTGGGTGGCTCAGACAGTTAAGCATCTGCCTCCGGCTCAGGTCATGATCCCGGGGTCCTGGGATCAAGCCCTGCATCAGGCTCCCTGCTCAGCGGGGAGTCTGCTTCTCCCTTTCCCTCTGCTGTTCCCCCTGCTTGTGCTCTCTGTCTGTCAAAAATAAATAAAATCTTTAAAAAAAAAAAAAACCAACACAATGAGATATCACTTCACACTTGTTAAAATGGCTAACATCTAAAAGACAAGAAATAGTAAGTGTTGGCAAGGATGAGAAGAAAAGGAAACCCTCATGCACTGTTGTTGGGAATGTAAATTTATGCAACTACTATAGAAAACAGTATGGAGGTTCCTCAAAAAGTTAAAAATAAAACTACTATATGATTCAGCAATCCCACTTCTGGGTATTTTATCAAGATAAAATAAAAACACTAACTCAAAAGACATATGCACCACCATGTTCAAAGCAGCATTATTTACAATAGCCAAGATATGGAAACAACCTAGGTGTCCATTAACAGATGAATAAAAAAAATGCTTTATATATACAATGGAATATTATTTGGCCACAAAAAAGAATGAAATCTTGCCATTTGCAACATGGATGGACCTTGGGGTATTACACTAAGTAAAATAAGTCAGATAGAGAAAGACAAATACTGTATGATCTCACTTATAATGTGGAATCTTAAAAAACAAAATAAAAACCAAACTAGGGAGTGCTGCATGACTCAGTCGGTTAAGCGTGTGACTCAGAATTTCAGCTCAGGTCATCTCAGGGTTGTGGGATCAAGCCCTGTACTGGGCTCCACACTCAGCACAGAGTCTGCTTGTCCCTCTCCCTCTGCTCCTCCATCAGCTAGCATGTGCATATGCTCTCTCTCAAATAGATAAATAAATAAATACATACATAAAATCTTAAAAAAAAAAAAAGCTCACAGACATAGAGAACAGACTCATGGCTGCCAGAGGCAGGAGGTAGAGGGTGGGCAAAATCAGTAAGGGAGTCAAAAGGTAAAAATTTCTAGTTATAAATAAATTATGAAGAAATAATGTACAGCATGGCGACTACCGTAAAACTGTACTGAATATTTGAAAGTTGCTAAGAGAGTAAATCTTAAAAAGGTCTCATCACAAGAAAAAAAATCTTTATATATGGTAATGGATGTTAACTAGACTTAATGTGGTAATTTCACAATGTACAAATATTGAATCATTATACTGTACACCTGAAACTAATGTTATCTGTCAACTGAGCCTCAGTTAAAATTTTTTTTCCTAAAAATATGTTTTTTCTAAAACAGGATCCTGGGGCGCCTGGGTGGCTCAGCTGGTTAAGCGACTGCCTTCGGCTCAGGTCATGATCCTGGAGTCCCAGGATCGAGTCCCGCGTCGGGCTCCCTGCTCAGCAGGGAGTCTGCTTCTCCCTCTGACCCTCCCCCCTCTCATGTGCTCTCTCTCTCTCTAATAAATAAATAAAATCTTTAAAAAAAAATAAAAAAAACCCAGGATCCTGCTTCACTAATATGAAATCTAGTAAATTTATTTCTGAGAAAGAAAAATTATTAGGCAAGTGATAAACATAAATTTTACCAAAAAAAAGAAGAAGAAGAAGGGAAAAGAAATGCTACAGAACTTTAGAAGTAAACTTTCCCCACAAGGGAAAACCATATACGTGTTAGTGCTGAGGAGGGTGGGCGGAGGATATATCTTTCTTATTTTAGAGATTATGCCAGAGAACTAAAGGAAGTTAAGCATAGGTTCATAAACCATTACTAGATATAACACAATCCCTCCCTTGCCTGTCCTTATTTTTTCAGAAATAGTGTCATGTGACCTAATTAATGCGACATTTCCCCAATGGATAAAACACCCAAACATTTAGCAGAATCCAAACTGACAAGGAAGTTCCTAAAAGCCAATGGCTTGACTAACAACCATTTCCTTCCTGTTATCAGTAGCAACAATTTAAGGAAGGAGTATGGCCAACTATGTTAATTCCACTACTTTCTATTTTCTAGATCACACAATGGAGACTCAAATCTCCTAAGCCTTCAAGAATTTAGATTCTAGAAAATGAAAAATTGACAGTGCATGTATGAATGCATCTTTATATACCTGGAGTTAACCTATCAGATGGCTTTGCTAATACCAAACAAAACAAAGGCAAACTAGAAGGCAAGCAAAAATAATGTTATTATCTCCCCTCTCACCAACTTCTTTCATTTTTTCCTCCCTTTCTCCAGCAACCCAACCCGCAGGCCCCCAAATTCCAAATCTGCTAGTTCATACTAAATCATTCACAATGGTGCGTCAACTAAGCTGTCACTTTCCAAACGAAAGTGTTAATACTTGAGACTACTATGAGGATCAAAATAATAACATATAAAAGCATTTTATAGTTAAAGAGTAGTAATTAGGAAAAGGCATAAGCATTTTAATGAAAAATGTTGCAGACAGAAACAGTTCCAAAGTAGATCCTTCCATCCCATGAAGGCACATCAAATGAAGATCTAAAATATTTGGGATCTGGGGGAGGTTGCCCACTATAAACTAAAGTCTTCCCAGTTTCCCTGAATTACTATGTATAATTTACTAAGCTTATAATTCCAAGTGCCATCTGTCCTACTTTAAAGTGGAAAATCCAAATGAATTCAGTCATTTTAACTAAAACTAATTCAATAATCTTCAGAAGCAAAGGGCAAACTACCAGAGAGGAAAATTCAATAGTTCACTTCAAAGCTATTTACCTCGTAGTTACTGAGCAGCGCAGAATTGGCATCCTTCCTGCAAAATAAAGTAAATCATCATCAGTCTGGGCTCACATTCCTTTGTGGGAATTAAATATCTATAAAATACTTCCTTTATCAAGATTTAGTAGTTCAGTTCAGGAATTCAGGGACTATAACCTAAAACTGAGAAATGTCCTAAGTCCTACTGGTTAGCTGGCAGTGGACAATTTCACAGCAAACTTCCCTCTTTATAGGCATAGTATATTACACATCCATTACTAAGTAGGTGATTGAAATACTATACTTATCCTTAATCTATGTCGGCAGAGTTAAGAGAAGTCAGTCATCTGGGAGAAGTCACTTACAGGAAGAACATGGGGCAAAACCAGAGGGTTAGGAAGGGGCGTCAATAAACAGGGAGGGGGCTAGAATTAACTGGAGAAACAGTGCTGTCTCATCCCACAGCCATGTCCTTTCCCCAGCACCATGTGCCTCCCACCAGTTATTGACATCTTGGGCAGGCAAGTCACCCTGCTGAATCACCAGAAATGGGATCATTAACATTAACATCACTACTGGGAATTCCAGCAATGTCAAGAATCCTGCTAGATATCCAGAAAGGTGTTCATCTTCTCTATCAATTCAGCAGGTAAAGTTCATGTGTCGGTCAGTGGTCAAAGCGTGGTACCCCTGCAATCAAGGCACAATGTCATTTTTCACGTATGAGTGAGCACAGCAACGTGACTTGTATTAAAGTATAATCAAGCCATTCTACAATACCACATCAGAAGTACTTATTGTTTTTAATAGTCTAGAGGCAGTATAGTGTGATAATTAAGAGCACATTTTTGAAATCAGACAAATCTAGGTTCATATTCTAGCTCTGCCACTTATAAGGTATGGGAGTTTTGATGAGTTTATTAATCCCCCTAAGCTTCTCATTTAAAACAAAAAATGGGGAGTGGAGCGGGAGGTTCTGTGGGACCCAGTCGGACCACGCTGCCAAAGCATCGCCCGTACCCACCACGGCCGCCACATCGGGGAGTCTCCTGCACCACCCAGGGGAGCGAGCTCCAAGCATCTCCTGCTGCGGTGCTCCTCAGGGCCAGGAGCGGGGAAGCTGAGTACGAGAAACCCCCAGGCCCTAGACCCAAGGGCAGCCTCTTCCCGCCACCTGAACCACCATGACCCACTTCAACAAGGGCCCTTCTTAAAGGGCCCTCCGCCAAGGTCAAGAACAAGATTGCTTCCAACTATGATCATCAGGCAGAAGAAGATCTTCAAAATTGGATAGAAGAGGTGACAGGCATGAGCACTGGCACCAACTTTCAGTAGGGCTTCAAAGATGGCATCATCCCCTTCGAGCTCATAAACAAGCTACAGCCAGGCTCAGTGAAGAAGGTTAATGAGTCCTCGTTAAACTGGCCTCAGGTGGAGAATATGGGCAACTTTATTAAAGCTATTCAGGCTTATGGCATGAAGCCACATGACATATTTGAAGCAAATGATCTTTTTGAGAATAGAGACATGACCCAGGTTCAGACTATGCTGGTGGCTCTGGCAGGTCTGGCTAAAACAAAAGGATTCCATACAACCACTGTCACTGTAGTTAAGTATGATGAAAAACCAACAAGACGTTTTGATGAAGGAAAATTAAAAGTTGGCCAAAGTGTAACTGGTTTGCAGATGGGAACCAACAAATGCACCAGCCAGGCAGGTATGACGGCCTATGGGACCAGGCGGTATCTTTATGATCCCAAAATGCAAAGTGACAAACGTTCTGACCAGACCACAATTAGTCTGCAGATGAGCAGCACCAACAAAGGAGCCAGCCAGGTGGGGATGTTAGCACCAGGTACCAGAAGAGATCCCTTGGATCAGAAGCCAACATTACAACCAGTGGACAACTCGACAATTTCTCTACACATGGGAACCCACAAAGTGGCTTCCCAAAAAGGAATGAGTGTGTACGGGCTTGGGCGGCAAGTACATGATCCCAAATACTGTGTTGCTCCCACAGAACCTGTCATTCACAATGGAAGCCAAGGAACAGGAACAAATGGGCTGAAATTAGTGACAGTGATTATCAGGCAGAATACCCAGATGAATATCACGGAGAGTACCAAGATGACCACCCCAGAAATTACCAATATGGTGACCAAGGCATTGATTATTAGATTGACACAGAGGGGCTCAGTATTTAGTCCATTGTTTTTATTCAGTGAGAACCAAGCTAGCCTTGAGTAATTTTTATCTTGTCTTCTTAAAACACTAGAATGCTTACTGTACCTAAAAGAAATATTGCCTTACATACATTCCCTTTTCCTTTTTCTGCCTCTTCCCTAAATAGTTGCCTTTTAGTGCTGTAACAATTCAATCCTACAGCAGAAGCAGTAACTCCCATATGAAGTAAAAAGGCATACTGTGAAAGGGGAGTACTCTTGTACAGCCAATTCTCTTATTAAAGACCTATGCTTTTTTTTTTTTTAGGATTTTGTTTATTTGAGAGAGAGAGAGACAAAGCACAAGCAGAGGGAGCGGCAGGCAGAGGGAGAAGCAGGCTCCTCACTGAGCAAGGAGCCTGACGCCGGACTCGATCCCAGGACCCTGGGATCATGACCTGAGCTGAAGGCAGATACTAAACCGACTGAGCCACCCAGGCGTCCCAAAGACCTTTTTTTTTTTTTTGCAATCTACTTAATAAACTGCGATTTTCAAACAATAAGCTTTTTTTTTTTTTAGTTTAGTATCTAGCTAAATGTTGTCTTCACTAAATTTAAGAAGCAGCATTTTAGAAATTTACACATCAATGTCTCTACAGTATTGTTTGCTAATTTTTAAATAAAGTCCTGATCAGGGTACGTTTGTGATTATATGTGGGCTCATTCTCTTACCTAAACTGACAAGATCTTTTCAGGGTGGTGTTTCTAAAGGAGCGTGTACAAAATCGACCTGCAGACATTCAGGTCTGGGTGGTGCGTTTGCTCTTCCTGTTCGTGCCAGTGTATCAATGTAGAGTTGCTCTGTTCTCTTCAACTGTATTTATTGCTGCATTTCTCAGTATAAACTTACCCCACTGTGTTTTTTATAAATAAGTTTTTTTTGAACATTAAAAAAAAACGGGGATAAAGTAGTACCTATAAGTGTAGCCTGGATTCTAAACCAGCTCCACTGAACATTAGGGCTCTGTGAATTTAGGGAAGTTACTTAACCTCTCTGTACTTAAATTTCCTCATCCATAAAATGACAATTGGAGTACTAACCACGTAAGATTTATAGGATTAAACTGAAAGATGTAAAGTACTGGAACACGTAAGTACTCAATAAAAGCCATCTATTATCACTACCTGGGTTACTACCATAACTTCTGCCTACATCCCAAAGCTGTTATGAGGATGAAATGAGACAACAAATTTTAGAAGTGTAGCATTGTTCTTGGTACTTATTAAGATCTTCTTTAATGAAAGCTATCATTTTTTTAAAGATATCACCTCACTGAGTTCTCATGTAAAAACCCTGTGATGTAGGAGCTATTATGATTCCTTCTTTACAGATGATGAAACTGAGGCTCAGAGATTTAAAATTTTGCTTAAGGTCACAAAGAAGCCTAACTGCAGCGGAAGATAACTACGGAACTGTGAAAAAATGAGGCTGGATTAGACAAATGGAAACCAGTACTGTAGAATCCTAAAAATTCAGGAAGCACTCTGGACTTGACATAATGTATAATAAAGACTACTGTTTGTTCCTAAACCGGGGGCGGGGCTATATGATGAAAATGCTGACACAAAATTTCAGAAACATGGGCCAAATAAACGGGAGATTTCTCTGAGCAATCAATAAAGCAAAACAAGCAGGTGATTAACACAAGAACCTGACCTAGGCCTTTGGTCAGCAGCACAGTGATGTCAGCACTCCAATCAAATCAACATGTGAAGCCTACCAAATGCTACTAGACATTCAACAAAGAGCTGGGATTTCACAAAATTGTTGCTTTACCCAAATGACCACAATTGCACTCAGGTCACAAAGAATATCTTATTAAAAAGGAATCTAACACAGGAAGGACAATGCATCATTAGTGATATGATATGGTTCATTTAAAATTGAAAAGGACAAATCAAACCACATGGCATCTTTGCCGACTTAATCAGGAAGTCAGTCCACAAGGCTTCTCCTATCTTTGCTTGAAATTGAGTTAAAACTCCCTGTGTGCCCTAAAGTACACTGTAACTAAGAGATCCCTTCCCAGAACAGACTGGATAATACATAATGTTATACATAATGTATTGAAAATAATACAAATGTTATTTTTCCTCAAGGCTAAGGGATCCATCCCAGGTGCCGTTGTTACAACTTCCTTTCCAAATCATAGCCTCTCCTTTGTCATGCAGAATATTCTATACCTTAGGAAAATCTGTCCTTGGCTATTCCAAGTTATTGCCCCACTGCCCAAGCCAATATTGTCAATGCAAGAATCCGAAGAACATCATCTGTCTTTACTAGAACCAATATACAAAGGAGAGACACTCTCTTGCATGTGTGTTTTAATGAACCTGTGTTTTGGAACCAGGAGAAAAATGGATGTTTAAACAAGTACCGCATCTTGGAGATTCCGGCTGGCGAAGATGATTTATTCAATTATTCTTTTATTAGGAATATAAATAACTTTTTTACTCAGTAAATACTAATGGAATAAATACCAATATATGCTAGGCTTTCCTTTATTTAATAAAATGTCAATAGGCATAAGATCTACCTTTTATGAAATGAACTATGTTCATTTCAGTTTCTAAATGAACTGTGCATTATCAAGGAAAGTTTTTTTTTTTAAGATTTTATTTATTTATTTGACAGAGAGAGATACAGCGAGAGAGGGAACACAAGCAGGGGGAGTGGGAGAGGGAGAAGCAGGCTTCCCGGGGAGCAGGGAGCCCGATGCGGGGCTCGATCCCAGGACCCTGGGATCATGACCTGAGCCGAAGGCAGTTGCCCAACAACTGAGCCACCTAGGCGCCCCTTGAGGAAAGTTTTTTTTGTTTTTTTGTTTTTTTGTTTTTTTGTTTTTTTAAGATTTTTATTTATTTATTTATTTGAGACAGAGAGAATGAGAGAGACAGAGAGCACACGAGAGCGGGGAGGGTCAGAGGGAGAAGCAGGCTCCCTGCCGAGCAGGCTCCCTGCCGAGCAGGGAGCCCGATGCGGGACTCGATCCCGGGACTCCAGGATCATGACCTGAGCTGAAGGCAGTCGCTTAACCAACTGAGCCACCCAGGCGCCCTTGAGGAAAGTTTTTAAGACAGCTTTTATCCTACTATAACCACCACTAAGTGGAAGGTTGCTGGGAACAGGAAATGGTAAGACTGGACAGACAACTTAATCGAGTGATCTCATTTAACAGCAGTGATGATGATGTGATGTACTGAGAAAGACACATCCCTTACAATAATCCTGTCAAAGAATGTCTAATTTTAATCTAGCCATGAGGATATAACCAGACAAACCCAAGTTGAGGAACATACTTCAAAACAACTGGTTTAGGTTCTTCAAATACCAATGTCATTTATAACAATGTCAATGTCACAAAAACAGGCTAGGAAACGGTTTTCAGAGTAAAGGAGATTAAAGAACTATGACAACTAAAAATATGATTATTGACTGGATCCTGAATCGGTGGTTAAAAAAAATCTAGCTGGGGTGCCTGGGTGGCTCAGTCGGTTAAGCGGCTGCCTTCTGCTCAGGTCATGATCCCAGGGTCCTGGGATCCAGCCCCACATCAGGCTCCCTGCTCAGTGAGGGGTCTGCTTCTCCCTCTTCCTCTGCCCTTCCTCCTGTTTTTGCTCTCTATCTCTCAATGAATAAATAAAAATCTTTAAAAAAAATCTTGCTAAAATGACACTGTTTGGACAACTGGAGAAATTTTGTATTTTAATAATATTGGTACATCAATGCTAAATTCCCTGGGTGTGACAATGGTATTGCAGTCAAACAGAATACATTTTTAAGACTGGGTAAAATGACATGATACCTACAACTCTGAAATGATAAGAGTAGAGAGAGAGAGAGAGACAGTGTGTAGAGAGAGAGAGAGAATGTATATGTTTGTAAGAGAGATAAGGCAAACATATCAAAATGTTAACAAAGGGGCGCCTGGGTGGCTCAGTTGGTTAAGCGACTGCCTTCGGCTCAGGTCATGATCCTGGAGTCCCGGGATCGAGTCCCACATCGGGCTCCCTGCTCGGCAGGGAGTCTGCTTCTCCCTCTGCCCCTCCTCCCTCTCATGCTCTCTCTCATTCTCTCTGTCTCAAATAAATAAATAGAATCTTTAAAAAAAAAAAAATGTTAACAAATGGTGACTCTAGATAGAGGATATAAAGATATGGGTTTGGAATTTTTCAAGCTAAAAAGTTGAGAACAATGGAAATGTAAAACTAAAGAATTCCATAAGGTTGAAAAAAGACATTAGTATACCCTAAAATTGAAGACATAAAATGCATTTTCCTCCAGTGTTTTTTTAGGGTGACTATAATCTGTCAATTTTATTTTATTTTTTTAAAGATTTTATTTATTTATTTATTTGACAGAGAGATAGTGAGAGCAGGAACACAAGCAGAGGAAGTGGGAGAGGGAGAAGCAGGCTTCCTGTCAAGCAGGGAGCCCGATGTGGGACTCGATCCCAGGACCCTGGGATCATGACCTGAGCCGAAGGCAGACGCTTAACGACTGAGCCACCCAGGCACCCTAATCTGTCAATTTTATATTTACAAGCTGTTGTTCCTACTGAGCAGGAACTGTCTGCTCTATATATAGCTTGCATTTCAGTAGACTTCTAGAAACTGCCCACCTACACAAAACTTCATGTTTTCCTATAGGACTCAGACTAGTACTGATTTTAATTACAGGTGTTTAAAGCAAATATTCCAAGTGAATTTTAAAGATTGTTTGAATCTATATTTACAGGCAGGCAGTCATTTAATGTCCTTAAGTAACGAATTAATTGGCTGAAGTTGACTTGCTATTTGAAATACAACCTGTAAATTTTGCTTAACTTGCTGAGTCAATTTAATGGATGTAAACAACTACTTTGGAAAACCGAATTCTGAATAAACAGAACAAAATGATCTATTGGCAGATTTTCTTTAGACACATACACATGCAAACAGCACCTTTTAATTGCCACACAGTTAACTTACGCACGCAATGACGAACAAAACTACTCAAATTCTCCTATGTTCAACCTATGTTATTGATTCAAGTCATGTTCTGAAAAACTAAACTCAAGTACAAGAAAACTGGGCAGATTTCAAAGTCAACAAACTTAATCTGTAGCATTCTCCTAGGAGCTAGCAAACAAGTATCCTCTTTCCAGTCCTATTACCGAACTGTTACAGGACGGACCTATTAGCTAACTTCTCCAAATCTCAGTATTTCCAGCTGTAAAATGAAGGAAATTCTTACAATGATTTAAAAAAGATGATACAGAAGATAATCCATTTTCCCTAACTATGTATATTAAGTTCAAGAATAAAAGAGTGAACACAGAGGTGCCTGGGTGGCTAAGTTGGTTAAGTGTCTGACTCGTGGTTTCACCTAAGGTCATGAGCTCAGAGTCCTGGGATCGAGCCCCATGTTGGGCTCCTCTGAGCTCAGCACGAAGTCTGCTGGAGATTCTCTCCTTCTCCCTCTATCACTGCCCCCCCCCCCCAGCCGCTTGCACACGCATGTGCGCATGCTCGCTCTCTCTCTCTCAAAGCCATCCCAGAGTAAGTGAGTTTATACAGGGTCATATAGGTCCTAGTAAGGAATGTAGATTTCCTCTTAGTACAACAGAAAGTCAATGAAGGGTTTTATAAAGGGGGTGAGTTGATCCAATTAATATTTTTTTTTTTAATTTTGTTTATTTGTCAGAGAGAGAGAGAGGGAACACAGCAGGGGGATCAGCAGGGAGAGGGAGAAGCAGGCTCCCTGCTGAGCAAGGAGCCAGATGCGGGACTCAATCCCAGGACCCTGGGATCACGACCTAAGCCAAAGGCAGATGCTTAACCAACTGAGCCACCAAGGCATCACAGAACCAATTAATATTTTAAGATCACTCTGGCTGCTGACTGGAAAACAGAATGGAGGGGGACAAGAGTGGAAGCCAAAGGCAACTGCTTAATCTGGACCAGAGATGACAGACTACAGAATTAGCAATGGATATGGTAAAAAGTAACTACACACAAAATATATTGAAGGTGAAGATGACAGGACTGGCTGATGGACTGGATTTAGGGGTGAGGAAGGAGGGCTAGATTTTTGGACTAAACAATTGGATGGATGATGAGAGAAAAGGGCTAGAACTATACTTTTGGGAGTTATCAGCATATAGATGAGTAAAATGACCAAGAGAGAGAGTGTGGAGAGGAAGGGTCCCAGGACTGAGCACTAGGACACCTCAACATTTAGAAGCCAAGCAAGGGAGGAAGGACAAACCAGGGAAGGAGACTGAGAAGTAGTCCTTGATGTAGGGGGAAATGCAGACAGCATGTAACAAAGCCAAAAGAGTTTCAAGAGTTTTTTGTTTTGTTTTTTTTTAAGTACAGTAGATACCCAGAGTTTCTGTATCAACTGCTGCTAAGAGATCAAGAAGGTTGAGGGCAGAAAATCAACCTTTGAATTTAACAAGATGGAGGGCTCAGGTAATCATCACAAAACCCATTTCTGTAGACTGGTGAGGATGAAAGCCCAACAGAATGATTAAGAATGAGGGGATAAACAACACTTCCAGTTTTGTAGTAAGGGGAAGCAAAAATGGAGCAATAAGTGGACATGAATGTGCGGACAAGGGATTTTTTTAAGATGGATAAATTAAAGCGGGATTGCATAATGACAGGAACTGCTCTAGTAAAGAGGGGAAAATTGGTAATAATAGCTTGGGCTAGAGTAATATAACTGAATGTTTTTCAAGATGCAGATTAAGCCCCATTAGTGGACTACAAAATCAATTTAGTGGGTCAGCATTCTTTTTTAACAAAAGAGACAGTATCAGAGTGCATATAGTAAAAGTATTGTTTCATGATGCTTTCATTTCAGTTACATATACATATTGTGTTTTTTAAAAATCTGCGAAATAGGCGCGCCTGGGTGGCTCAGTCGGTTAAGCGTCTGCCTCCGGCTCAGGTCATGATCCCAGGGTCCTGGGATCGAGCCCTGCATTGGGCTCCCTGCTCAGCGGGAAGCCTGCTTCTCCCTCTCCCACTCCCCCTGTTTGTGTTCCCTCTCTCCCTGCGTCGTCTCTGTCAAATAAATAAATAAATAAAATCTTTAAAAAAAAATAAAAATCTGCGAAACAGTAGTATATAGGACCATTAGATAGGTAAAAGAACACAAAGGAAAATGTATTAAATAACCAACGCCAAAGAGAACACAATATAGTTGTGCCTACAAGTTAATGTCAGCCATGAAAAAACCCACATGCGGAGTAGTTGCAAAAACTTCCATCTGCACTCGGAACAATAAGCAAACATCACACACAAGTACTGTTCCTGTGGTCTCAGTCCTGGCTCAAGCTCTTCCTTCTTCCCAGAAAATGTGACCCTTCCATAGCAACTTCTGAGTGAGGGCAAGGCTCTATCCCCAAGCACTATCCCAGCACTTACCCATCTTTTCTGCAAGTACTTCCAGGGCGGACGCGGGGCTTTACACGCTGGGACACCGGGCCGAGCTCCCCACGGTGACCCAAAACACGCCAGGAAATGAATGAGGGAGGGAGCAGGCACACTGAAAGGCCGCCAGGTCAAGTCGCACTGGGTCTCGCGTCCCAGGCACTGGGTGCGAGTAGGGACGAAGGTTCGTAGGGGCAGAGCGAGGGTCCCCTTCCTCCCAGCGTCCCACCCCAAGGCTTTCCCCCAAGCCCGTACAGGGTGCCGCCCCATGCCCGCGTCCCTCGGCTCCCCTCGGCCCAGCAGTCCCCAGCTGTGGTCGTCTGCGCAAGGCCGGGAACGCGCCCCTGACGACTTACACTTCCATGTCGGTCCCGCGTCGTCGCCTCCGGCCGCCAGCAAACACCAGCGTCACACCACGCCGCCGCGGCTACCGCAGTCCGCGCCGGGCACCCGTCGCCGGATCTGCGCGCCGCGGGGTACGTCGGGATCGCCGCGCTGCACGCCGGGATCGCCGCGCTGCACGCCGGGATCGCCGCGCTGCACGCCGGGATTCTAGCGGACCAGGCGGGCATCTCTGCGCGGTGCAACTGCGCCGTGCTGTTCGCCCTGCTGGACTTAAGACTGTTAAACTTATGCAGGCAGGACTTACTTAGCTCATGTTTTCTTGGTCTGGGTGATATCAGAGTATTAATAAACTAAATTTCCAGAGAGATAATCGGGTTAGTAGCCCTCTGTAGCGTTAAAATCCCAGCCGTCAGAGAATAGTGATGGCGAGGGGCGAGGCGGCTCTGGGCTGCTGGAAATACTGTCTCAGGATTTCGATGTTGGGTGCGCGGTGTCCCGTTTCTGAAAATTCGGTGAGTTGTACACGTATGTACACTTCTCTGTAGGTATGTTATAACTGAATAAAACGTCTCAAGAAGAAAAAAAAAGAACTCAGGCTCCCTTCTCCCCATTCTTCCTTGAGAGGTATTTGGCAAAAAACAAACAAAAAATACAAAAAGCCAAGGACAAGCACAGACTCTGATCTTCCCGCCTTTCTAGGAATTTATCCAAAGGGAATTATCAAATGCTTGAAGAAAGATGGTTGTGTAGTGATTCTTTTTTTTTTTCCCGGGGAGACGGCCTCAATGTCCCATCAGTGAGGAATTAATAAATCATGTTTCAGGCATACAGTACTTTATATGCAGCCATGAGAAATGATGTTGTATACTTGGTATGCTGGGGAAATGCTCAAGATAGGGTTTTTAAAAGATAGAAAATGATGTTGGTGTGACTAATATTCTAAAGAAAAATAATACACAGGGAAAAAAACACCTAAAGGTACATGAGGTAAAGCCACCTAATCTACTATATTTTATGTCTTAAAAGAACAGACATGGAAGGTTCATGTCCATTATCTTCAAAAATTTTTGGTATATCTGAAAATATTTTTTTTAAGATTTTATTTATTTATTAGAGAGAGAGAGAGCACAAGCAAGGGGAGCAGCAGGCAAAGGGAGAGGGAGAAGTGGGCTCCTCCCAGGGAGCCCAACTCCCTCCCAGGACCCAGCTGAAGGCAGACACTTAACCAACTGAGCCACCCCAGCGCCCCTGAGAATATTTCTTTAAAAATCTAAAGATGATGAGTCAATTTCTAATTTTTTTCTCCTTTTTTATAGTTCTATCAGTTATTATTTGCTAAATCCATTCGCTTTGCAAGGCCCTTGCTAAGTGCTTTGTTATTCCATTATATTAACAGGTAATGGTGCAGGCTTTGCAGTCAGGTGCCCTGTGATTCTGTTCACCTACATCACTTTCTTAGAGTGATGACCTTGGGAGATTACTTAACCTCTCCTAACCACAATTCCCTAATACGTGAATCATAGGTCTGTTTGGTAATCTTTATAAAGTACCCAGCATATAGTAAGTGCTCAGCAAATACTAATTACTGTGACAGTACAACTATGACACTCAGGTAGATTCTGTTGTTATTCAAATTTTACTATTGAGGAAATTGAGGCAGGCTTGGAGAGATTATGATTTACCCAAGGTCAGTCATCTAGGAACTTGTCCAGTAGGGGTTCAAACTCAGGCAATTTGAATAAAGATAAGGAGTGTATTAAATTGTTAATAATGACTGATGATTAGTTAGTAAAACATGTGGATAGCAATAAAAAGGAATGGAGAACTGATACAACATGGATGACCCTCAAACACGTGCCAAGTGAAAGAAGCCAGATACAAAAGACCACATCCTATATGATTCCATTTCTATGAAATGTCCAAGACAGGGAGTAGATTAGTGGTTGCTTAGGGTTGGGAGAGGGGCAGGGGCAGGGATGGCAGCTAATGGACGCAGAATTTCTTTTGGGGGGAAAAAATGTCCTAAAATTAGATTGTAATGGTTGCCCATCCCTGGGAATATACCAAAAACACTGGATTATATACTTTATTTTTTTTTAAAGAATTTATTTATTTGACAGAGACACAGCAAGAGAAGGAACACAAGCAAGGGGAGTGGGAGAGGGAGAAGCAGGCTTCCCGCTGAGAAGGGAGCCTGATGCGGTGCTCGATCCCAGGACCCTGGGATCATGACCTGAGCCAAAGGCAGACGCTTAACGACTGAGCCACCCAGGCGCCCCTGGATTATACACTTTAAATGAGCAAACTGTATAGTCTCTGAATTATGTATCAAGGAAGCTGTTAATTTTTTTTTTTCCTGGTGTTTGCCTGTGGGGATTACATAAGAAGAGAAATGAGACAAAGTTTTAGCATTTAACTTTGCATATTCAGAATTTTAAAAATGTGTTTTCAATGCACATGTTATTTTTAATTACAAAAATATTATTTTAAAAACAACTAATTTGGGGATGCCTGGGTGGCTCAATCGGTTGAGCATCTCCTTTCTGCTCAGGTCATGATCCCAGGGCCCTGGGATCGAGTTCCACATCAGTCTCCTTGCTGGGTGGAGAGCCTGCTTCTCCCTCTGCCTGATGCTCCCTCTGCTTGTGCTCTCTCTCTCTCTCTCTGACAAATAGATAAATAAAATCTTAAACACACACACACACACACACGAATTTGGGGCACCTGCGTGACTCAGTTGGTTGAGCATTGACTCTCGGTTCTGGCTTAGGTCATGATCTCAGGGTCGTGAGATGGAGCCCTGCGTCAGCTCTGTGCTCAGCATGGAGTCCACTTGAGATTCTTCCCCCCTCCCCCTCTGGTCCCCCCTACCTCAAGCACACACGTGTGCATGCGTACACTTTCTCTCTCTCTCTCTCAAATAAACAAATCTTTTTTAAAAAAACCCCAACAACTAATTTACTTTAAAAAATCAGCAAATAAATAAAATGCTACCCTAGACCCAGCTGGCCTAATTTGTGTAGAAGGTCCCCATACCTGCTTTGAGGACAGCAGGCCCCACAGATAAGCACTAAAGATGTTCATTGTGCTATTCACTTAGCAAATATGTAGTGATGACCCATTTGGTAGTGATGATACACATGTGAATAATATGCACCTCCTGCCCTGGCTAGCTGACAGCCTAGTTGGAGAACCAGCTCTGGACATCAACAACTACAATACACAATGTTTAGACACAATGAAGCAGAGGAGAGAATGACTAATGAGGTGGAGAGGCGTCCCAAAGCCAGGGGTGTTTGAGCTGGTTGTGGGGAGGAGCACCCAAGGCCAAGGCTTCAGGGATGGGCTTCCACAGAAGAAAAGCTAGTGCCTCTCTGGGGGCCCCATGAAAAAATAGTTAAGCTCCAGGGTCTCCAAAGGAGGCCACCCTAAGACTTCGGGGCCATATGCACCCTTCTGATGCACCAAAGTAGAAAATGTAGGGGAGACAAGCCAGGCAAGGCTTTCATTCTTCTGAAGCAGATAAATCCTAGACAGCACTCAGGTCTGTGCTGAAATGGCTGTTGTCCATTGTCTGAACAGTCCTGGACCCTCAAGTTGGCAATGAGGATGGATACAGAAGGTTTGCCTATGGTCAAGGCCCTGAAGGAAACACCAGCAAAGTCAAGTAATGTGATTTCTTTTTTAGCATCGCAGGAGCAGGAATTGTAAACCCTTGGTGACCTTCAATCATGGGTTGTATTCCTGGATACCCACAGGAATGAGGCTGTCAAGTGTGATGGTTACAGATATGGGCTCTGTGGCCAGAGAGACTGGGTTAAATCCAGTACCTACCTTACAGAGTCAGCGTGTTTAGAGTGGCACCTGGCAAGTGGCAAGCATGAAAAAAAATATGAACTATTATCTTCCCATATATCCAAAGCAAGGAAATAAGATTTTGGATGAAGAAAGCGTTAAGTATATGGTGATATGTGGATGTCATCTAGTTCCCCTCATCGCAGATATACTGTCCATCTTCTTGGAAACATCATGAAGACTCTCATTACCCACCTTACCTTGGAACAGTTGACATGAGTTGAGTTAAAGGCTTCTAGTGAGTAAGAAAATATGTTACACGGCAGTGCGGGACTTGGAGGGTGGGGTGAGAATGAGTGATCAGCCCCATTCAAGGGCATTTTCCATATGGTAGGCAGAAAGACATCCCCAAAGATGCCCACACCCAAATCCTCCAGAACCTGTAGATATATTACTACATATGCCCAAAGGGACTTTCCAGATGTGATTAAGGTTATGGACCGTATGATGGCAAGATTATCCTGAATCATTTGGATGGGCCCAATCTAATCATATGGATCCTTCCAAGAGGAGAATCTTTGCCAGATGATTTAGAGGGAGGTGGAATTATGGAAGAAGAGTCAGACAGATGCACCTGTCCTGGTTTTGAAGATGGAGGAAGGGGCCATGAGCCAAGGAAGGTAAGTGGCCTCTAGAAACCAGAAAAAGCAAGGAAAGGATTCTCCACTGAGCCTCCAGAAAGGACTGCAGCCCAGCCAACACCTCAATTTTAGCCCTGTGAGACCCATGTAAGACTTCTAACCTATAGAATTGTGAGATGGTAGAGGCGCCTGGGTGGCTCAGTCGGTTGAGCATCTGACTCTTGATTTTGGCTCAGGTCATGATCTCAGGGTCCCAGGATCAAGCCCCGCATCTGACTCCCCGTTCAGCAGCAAGTCTGCTTGTCTCCCTCTCCCGCTGCCCCTCCCCCTGCTTGTGCTCTCTCTCGCTCTCTCTCGCTCTCTGAAATAATAAATAATCTTTAAAAAAAGAATTGTGAGATAACAACTTTGTGGGAGTTGTGCGGTAGTTTATTACAGCAGCAATGGGAGATGAATACACTCCCATGCAAATCCTCTCTTCAGTGCAGACTGTCCTGTTTATTCACTGTCCACAGTCACAAAAAGCTGCTTCTCCATTTCTGTCTCTACCTTCTCTGCAGGAGGCTGAGTACCCCTCAGACGACTCCTAAGATAGAGCCACATGTCTCACGGTCTCGGATGTGTGCAAGTGCACGCGTGAGCACACCCACAGCTCTAGGCCCCCCTCCTGTGGCTGCCGCTAACCTCGTCGCAGTAATGGTAGCAGGGCAGGGTGCTATTGTTCCCAGGCCCTAAGGCCTGGCCTCCTGCCTCACACCATTGCTGTAGGTTTCCTTAGGCTCCCTTAGTTTATTTTCATTCTCTGGCTGCTGGAGTCTGTGGGGCCAGGTGGGGGGACAGTCAGAATGTAAGGCATAGCTCTGTGCCCTTCAACCAAGCAGGAGACTTCACTCTGCACTCTTGGGAGGGAGCTTTTTCCCTGGAGGCTCCTTTGGTCTCAGTCCCATCTCCAGCCCAGGCAACCCAAGCCTGACTCCTGGGGCCTCTACCGTGAGCTTACACAGTTCTCTGAAACTTATATAGTTCCCTGAAAAGTACTTAGAACAGTGCCTGGCATTTAGTAAGCACTGCATAAGAGAGCTTATAAACAAATATCCTACATATGTTCTGTCTGCTGTCTCGTGTGATTTGTATAGCATAGGGATTAAGAACACAGATGTTAGGGTCAGACTGCTGGCCTTCGTTTGGATCCTGTCTGCCCCACCTACTAACTTTATGACTTAATCTTCTAAGTATCTTCTAAATTTCCCTGTCTATAAAATGTTGATAATTCTATTTACCTCCTAAGATTAAATGTGATGATAAACATGCAGTGGTTTTGAAGCATGTCTGCAAATTTAGCAGGGCTAAAATTGCAAATAAAACTCTTCCTTCACAGGGTGGAGACTAATTCCCCACCCCCCCATCTTGAATACAGGCTGGAATTTTGACTCACTAGTACTGAACAGAAGGCTGTTGAAAGTGACACCACGTGACTTCTGAGGCTGAGGCAAAAAGGCTATGCAGGTCCCATCTGGCTCTCTCTCTCAGGACATGGGTTTTAAAGCCCTGAGTCATCCAGGAAGAAGTGTGGCTATCTTCATACCACTAGGCTGGAGGCACCACATGGAGAAATCACACACTTACACAGACTTTTGCAGCCCCCAGCCATTTGAATCTTCCCAGCTCAGGCATCAGACCTGTGACTGATGAAGCCTTTGAAATGACCCCAGCTCAAGTCAGTGTCTGATTGCAATTCCATGAGAAACCCTTACCCAGAACCTTCTTGCTGAGCCCATTCAACCTCCAGAGTGATCAAAAGTAATAATAATTCTTACAGTTGTTGTTTTACAATTTGGGTTGTTTTGTTACACAGCAATAGGTAACTGATATGCACATAAAGCACCTCGAACATGAAAAGCATGGAGTAAATAGTAGTCCTAATTCTTATTACTTCAAATTAGCACCATCCTGGCCCACTAGGGCTTCATTTATTAATAATGGCAGCTACAATTTCTTGAGTACTTAGTATAAATCAAGCATAGTCCATATGCAATTTCTTCTTCACTCTGCATGAGTATCATTATCCCTTTTTTACTGAACCTCCAAGGGGTTAAGTAATTACCTGAGGCTACACCCAAGGAGTAATGTGGCTTAGATTCAACCCTTGGCTCCTCTGACTCTCAGAGCCTGTTGTAAAGCATACTCCAGTATAGTAACTGCCACTTGAGTCCTTCTAAAATGCTGCCCATGCTGAGTCCTCTGCCCAGGCTGGACCACCAACAGCTATCTCCATGAAGAGCTAACAGGACTGGGGCTCTTGCCATCCCCTGCAGTGTTCTTTCAGGTTGACTTCTGCACACTTGACATCAGGTATGTATGGTCAATCATAATTCAGCAAATGAAGAGTATAGCAACTGACAGGCCCAAGACTCCTTGTCCAACTTTTGTTTTCACTGCAAGGACTGGAAAGACAGTTGATTGCCATGTAAGATTTCATGATGTTCCTGTTAGCCAGTTGTTCACTTGATCCCTCAGGTAATTAATTTCTGATGAATCAAACTTTTGACATGATCCCTAGACCAATGTTATCGCTGTCCTGCACATTACATGACCTTTGTGGCCAGACTAATGGGGTTCAAGTCCCAGCTCAGGCACTTCCTAGCTGGGTGTTGTTGGGCAAGTCACTTAATCCCTCCCAGACTCAGTATCCTCATCAGTAGACTGGGACTAATTATAGCATTGACCACAAGGGATGGTTGTGAAGATTTAAGGAGATAATCAATATGTAAGGTGTTTAGCAAGAGCCTGGCACACAGAACTCAAGGCGTCTTAGCTATCATTGTTATTCTGTGTTTATTGCCCTATTTATATATAGAAAACACCCCAGCCTAACTTTAAATTGTTTCTTTAACTTCTTCCCTCAGGCAGGAGCCAGAACTTGGAATTTCCTAGATGATGCTCAGGAGGTGTGATGAGGTAAGAGCCTTGCCCTTTCCTCCTTGTTTCCCCTTCTCCTGAGAGTTCAGTTTTTGTTGTCAATAACAGCAATGACAACACGTGTACTGAGTGCCAATTATGTAGCTGCCAGACCCAGTCTTGAAACTGTATATATATTATTAACTCAGATCTCACAACAAATCATACAGGCAAGATATTTTTACTCACTTATTCATCCTTTTTTTTCATTTAACAAATAGTTATCGTGTTCCTTCAATGATCTGGGTACTTGAAATGTATTAAAGAATAAGACAGGGAGCTCCTGGGTGGCTCAGTCGGTTAAGCGTCTGCCTTCAGTTCGCGTCATGATCTCAGGATCCTGGGATCAAGCCTCACATCAGGCTCCTGCTCAGCGGGGAGTCCGCCTCTCCCTCCCCCCTGCTCATGCTCTCTCTCTCAAATAAATATATATATATTTTTTTTTTTATTTTTTTTTAAAGATTTTTTTAATTAATTTATTTGAGACAGAATGAGAGAGAGAGAGTACATGAGAGGGGGTGGGGCTAGAGGGAGAAGCAGGCTCCTCGCCGAGCAGGGAGCCCGATGCGGGACTCGATCCAGGGACTCCAGGATCATGACCTGAGCCGAAGGCAGTCGCTTAACCAACTGAGCCACCCAGGCGCCCAAATAAATATATTTTTTAAAAAAATAAACATAAAAAAGATCAAATAGGCATTTGGATGTAGAAGTTTTCCCTCCACTTTACGGTAAGTGACTGAGTTAGGATTTAAACCAAGTCTGACTCCACCACCTTATCTCTTGTGTTAAATATCTGCCACCGGATTTTTGCTCCTGACCAAGATGGACTCAGTTGGACCTGATTTACCATCATGCATGAAACAACCAAAAAAAAAATTAAAAAGACAAAGTACATGAAAGAAAGATTTTTCAATGAAAGATGGTGATTTCTGAGAGACAGAAACAAAAGGAGTGAGCCCTATAAAAATCCAGCTTACTATTTTGAGAAAGTTCTCAGGACATGATACAGGGAGGCAGAACTGAGGCAGAGTCTGGCAGAGTCTGGCAACTCCCTGAGTTGAGAAGACAAAATGGACAGCAAGAGAGACAGAGGCTTCTAGAGTTCATAAAACAGAGTAACAGAGAGAAGAAAACCATACAGAGAGAGGTCTCTGAAGATCTACAGAGGGTCCTCCTCAAGTATTCAGTGGATCACTGAATCAATGCATGCATGTGAGGAAACGGAGTATGGGGGAAAGATCAATCCAAAAGGAATAAAGGAAACAGTGCCTGTTTCTGCGAATCAGACTGGGAAAACTTATAATTCATTGGGTGGAGTATTGAGGAAAATCTTCCCTCATTAATGGGAAATGATTAGCTCCAGACTGAGCATTGCTACTGACCTGCATAGCAAATAATGAAAGCAAAACCCAAAAGGATCCAACTGTTTCCAAGTAATCTAACTGCATCCCAGAGCAAAACTCAAGATTTATAGGAATACAAAAATATCCAACACCTAACCAGATAAAGATCCAACGTCTAGCATCCAATCAAAGACTGCTAGGCGTATAAAGAAGCGAGAAAATATGACTGATAATGAGTAGATTTAAAAAATCAGAGAAAGACATTAAAACAGTTATTATAGGGGCACTTGGGTGGCTCAGTTGTTAAGCATCTGCCTTCGGCTCAGGTCATGATCTCAGGATCCTGGGATCGAGCCCCACATCGGGCTCCCTGCTTGGCGGGAAGCCTGCTTCTCTCTCTCCCATTCCCCCTGCTTGTGTTCCCTCTCTCGCTGTGTCTCTTTCTGTCAAATAAATAAAATATTAAAAAAAAAAAAACAGTTATTATAACTGTATTCCATATGCTTAGAAAGTTAAGTTGAGGACTTGAATGGACATTTCTCCAAAGATGATATAGAATGGCCAAGAAGCATTTGAAAAGATGTTCAACATCACTAATCATGAGAGCATGCAAATCGAAACCACAATAAGATATTACCTCATACCCATTAGAATAGCTATTACTAAAAAAACGGAGAATAATAAGTTTAGTGAACTTTCAATCTTTTTGAACACTTGGTGGAATTGTAAAATGGTACAACTGCAGTGGAAAACAGTATGGAAGTTCCTCAAAAAATTAAAAATAGAACTAACATATGATCCAGCCATCTCACTTCTGGGTATATATCCAAGAACTGAAAGCATCACACATGAAATCCTAGGGTCTTGAAGAAATATTTGCACACCCATGTTCATAGCATCATCATTTACAATGTATCAGTATAGATGTATTAGTCAGGGTTCTCCAAAAAACAAAACCAATAGGATATATATTTTAGAAGATTTATTATAAGGTGGCACCTGGCTGGCTCAGTCAATGGAGCATGTGACTCTTGATCTCAAGTTGTGAGTTTGAGCCCCATGTTGGGTGTAGAGATTACTTAAAAATAAAACCTTAAAAAAATGATTTATTATAGTAATTGGCTCATGCAGTTATGGAGGCTGAAAAGTTCCACAATCTGCCATCTGCAAGCTCCAGACCAGGAAAGCCAGTGATATAATTGGGCCCAAGACCTGGGAACCAGCAGGCTGATGGTGTAAGACCTGATCTGAGTCTGAGAGCCTGAGAACCAGGAATGCCAAGAGAAGATGGGTGTCTCAGATCAGGCAGAGATAGACCAAATTCACTCTTGTCCATCTTTTTGTTCTATTTGGGCATTCAACAAACTCCATGGTACCCACCCACACTGGAAATGGCCATCTGCTTTACTCCGTTCACCAATTCAAACGCAAATCTTTTCTGAAAACACCCTCACAGACACACCCAGAAATAATGTTTCATCAGCTATCTGGCCATCTCTTAGCTCAGTCAAGTTGACACAGAAAATTAACTATCATAGTGGAATAATATGCAGCCTAAAAAGGAAGGAAATCCTGCCACATTATATGATGTAGACGAACCTTGAGGACATTAGGCTAAGTGAAATAAGCCAGTCACAAAAGTTAAAATAATGTATGATTTACTTATATGAGATATACAAAGTAGTCAAATTCATATATAGAGAAAGTAAAATGGTGGTGACCAGGGGTTAGGGGTAGTGGGCAAAGGGGAGTTGTTTAATGGATATAGTTTCTGTTCTGCAAGATGAAAAAGTTCTGGAGATCTGTCTCACAACAATGTTGATATACTCAACACTACTGAACTGTACACTTAAAGATGGCTAAGATGATAAACTTAATGATGCATGTTTTCTACCACAACAAAAAGTTAATATACAATAGCATTTCTATATGATATCAACAATAATTTAAATTTTATGAAAATGATAATAAAAAAGATTTGAGCTTTTTTTGGCCCCATCTACCACGAGAATAAGGATCATTCTCAACAATCAGACTGTTGGCATTCCCGAAAATGTTGACATTACTCTGGAGGGCTATTTTGAAGGTCACCAGAAGAAACCTGAGGAGGGATTCCAACTACATTACTGTAGAACTCAGTTTCCTTGAAAAGAAAAAGAAGAGGCTCCAAGTTGACAGATGGTGGGGCAATAGAAAGGCTCTGGCTACTGTTTACACTATCTTTGGTCATGTACAAAACATGGTTAAGAGTGTTACACTGGGCTGGGCGCCTGGGTGGCTCAGTTGGTTAAGCGACTGCCTTCGGCTCAGGTCATGATCCTGGAGTCCCAGGATCGAGTCCCGCATCGGGCTCCCTGCTCGGCGGGGAGTCTGCTTCTCCCTCTGACCCTCTTCCCTCTTGTGCTCTCTGTCTCTCATTCTCTCTCTCTCAAATAAATAAAATCTTTAAAAAAAAAAAATTAAAAAAAAAAAAAGAGTGTTACACTGGGCTTCCAGTACAAGATAAAGTCTCTGTGAAGACATGTATCATATGATCTCACTGATATGAGGAATTCTTAATCGCAGGAAACAAACTGAGTGTTGTTGGAGTGGGGGGTGGGGTGGGAGGGATGGGGTGACTGGGTGATGGACACTGGGGAGGGTGTGTGCTCTGGTAAGCGCTGTGAATTGTGCAAGACTGTTGAATCTCAGATCTGTACCTCTGAAACAAATAATGCAATATATCTTAAGAAAAAAAAAAGAAGAAGAAGGTAGCGGGAGGGGAGGAGTGAGGCGGGGGAAATCGGAGGGGTAGACGAACCATGAGAGACGATGGACTCTGAAAAACGAACTGAGGGTTCTGGAGGGGAGGGGGGTGGGAGGATGGGTTGGCCTGGTGGTGGGTATTGAGGAAGGCACATTCTGCGTGGAGCACTGGGTGTTGTGCACAAACAATGAGTCATGGAACACTTCATTTAAAACTAATGATGTAGTGTATGGGGATTAACATAAGAATAAAATTAAAAAAAAAAAAGATAAAGTCTCTGTGTGTTCACTTCCCCATCAATGCTGTCATTCAGAAGAATGATTCTCTTGTTGAAATCTGAAATTTCTTGGGCAAAAAATACATCTGCTGGGTTCAGATGAGGCCAGGCATTGCCTGTTCAGTATCACAAGCTCAAAAAGATGAGTTAATTCTTGAAGGAAATGACATTAAACTTGTAGCAAATTCAGCTGCTTTGATTCAGCAAGCCACAAGAGTTAAAAATAAGGATATCAGAACATTTTTGGATGGTATCGTTTCTGAAAAAGGAAAAGTTTAGCAGGCTAATGAATAGGATTTAAGCTGTTCAGCTACAGAAACAGCAAGATGCCAGATGATTTTTCAGACTTCTTTGTGATATTTTAAAGATGCACTAACAGCTGTGTGTTAAAAAAGAAAAGGAAAGAAAACTACAAGATTTGAGATACTGGATTGGATGGATAGCAGATTAGACACTATAGAGAAAAAGATTGGTGAATTAAAGGCATAAAAATAGGCACCATTCAAAATGAAACACAGAAAAAAAAAAGAATCAACAAAAATAAAAGAGCATCAATGAGCTGTGGGACACTTCAAGTTTATGTACAGATAATTAGGATCTCCAAAAAAGAGGAGCAAGAAAGGGATAGAAAGATATTTTAATATTAAAAATTATAAATCCACAGACCTAAGATACTCAACACGAAAAATGAAGAAAACTGCACCAAGACATATCACAATCAATTTCTCAAAATCAGTGATAAAGAAAAAATCTTAAAAGCAGCTAGAGGGGGAAAAAAAGACATGTTACATATAGAGGTACAAAGATGAGCCTGACAGATTTGTCATTAGAAACAATGCAAGTGGAGCAACATCTTTAAAATACTGGGGAAAAGAGTCAACTTAGAATTCCATATGTGGAAGGAATATTTCTCAGAACAACAACAGGATGACATGAAGACATTTTCAGGTATACAAAAGCTGAAAGGATTCATCACTGGTGCTATAGAAAAATAAGGAAATGCTTTAGACAAAAGGAAGATGATAGCAGATGGAAATCTGGATCCACACAAAGGAATAAAAAGCACAGGCAATGCTAACTACATAGGCAAATATGTAAGATTTTTTTTCTTACTGCTTTGTTATGGCCATTCTAGGAAACTAATATACCTATATCTAACACCACACTTAATGGTAAAAAACTGAATGTTTTACCCCTAAGTTCAGGAACAAGACAAAGATGTCCACTCTCACCACTTCTATTCAAAATTGTACTGGAAGTACTGGTCAGAGCAATTAGGCAAGGAAAAAAAAAAGGGCATTCAGGTTGGAAAGGAAGAAGCAAAACTATATTAGCAGATGACATGTATGTAGAAAATCATGAAGAGTCCACTAAAAAAGCTGCTGGATAAACAAATTCAACAAGAGTGCAAGATACAAGATCAATATATAGAAGTCAATCACATTTCTATACATTAACAGTGAACAGTTGGAAAATGAAATCAAAAAAGACAATTCCATTTATAATAGCACCAAAAAGAATAAAATATTTGGGAATAAACTTGTCAAAAGTACTCCAAAACTTGTGCCCTGAAAATTATAAAATATTATTGAAGGAAATTAAATAAGATCTTATTAAATTAGAAACGCCCCATGTTCATGACTGGAAGACTTAATATTGTTAAAATGTCAGTACTCTCCAAATTGATCTCAATACATCCTTATCAAAATTCCAACTGCCTTTTTTGCAGAAAATGACAAGTTAATTATAAAATTCATATGAGGATGCAAGGGACCCAGAATGGCCAAAACAAGCAACAAAAGAAAAATGAATAAACTGGACTTCATCGAGATTAAAAACATTTGTGCTACAAACAATACAAACTAGAAAGTGAAAAGTCAATCCACAGAATAGGAAAAAAATATTTGCAGATCATACATTATGTACCTAATAAGGGACTTGTATCATCAAGATTAAAAACTTTTGCTCTAAGAAAAATGCTGTTCAGACAAAGAAAAGACAAACCACAAACTGAACGAAAATCTTTGCTAAGTGTATATGTGGGTGAATGACTTGTATCCAGAACATATAAAGAACTCTCAAAATACAACAATAAGCAAAGAATCCAATTTAAAAAGGACAAAAATTTTGAATAGACCTCTCACCAAAGATGATAATACATGGATGGCAAATAACCATATGAAAAAATGCTCAGCATTAGTTATTAGGGAAATGCAAATTAAAGCAATAATGAAACACACCATGCACCTATAGGAGTGACTAAAGTTAGAAAGACTGACCATTCTAAGTGTTGACAAGGATGTGCAGAACTGAAACTCTCACATACTGCTGGTGGGAAAAGTAAATTTGTACAACACTTTGCAAAACTATTCTGTAATTTCCTAAAAAATTAAATATACATCTACCATATAGTCCACCCATTCCATTCATAGGTATTTATCCAAGGGAAATGAAAGCATATGTGCATAGAAAGACTTGTACATGCATGTGTTATATGTAATAGCCCCAAATTGGAAGCAACCCAAATGTTCATCAACAGACAACTGGATAAACAAATTGGGGCATATCCATACAATGGAATA